ATATATATTTCAGGCGGATATTGTGCACCCCATACTGACCATCCGTTTGATCGGTAAGGAGTGGGTGGGAGTGGGTGTGATCATGGTAGGTCAGCTCTTCCGAGTACGTATATCATCATCGTTGGTCTCTCTCTCCAAGAGCAAGGCTCAAGGAACATCTCGACCCAGGATAACCCAGGATGCCTACACTCCCTGCTGCTCAGAGGAAAATGGTCATCTGCCCGGAGGCAATGTTCACTTCCATGACTATTTCATGTGTACGTACGGGTTTTCTGACGTGTTTTCCATTTACTAGAGGCTTTTCCAGCCATCGGGAGAGCGCCTTGACCGTGTGATCCAAACACCTCGACCGTCGACTGACTGTCGTCTGTGGAGAGCGACGACTGACACTGAGTCGTCTGAGGTCTCTTTTTTCGCGTGTGGGGCATGGGCTGTACCGTGGGCCTGTCTTGTTTGAAGGCAGTTGTGGCTTTGAGAAGAGAGGCTGTGACGATTGTAGCTGTCACGCGTTCATTCATGTCCTCAAGTCCCAGTGTCGTTGTTTCGAAACCACGCCATATATCGTTCATAATCCCACCAAATTGGAATTTGTAGGATCCAGGGTACTTAAAGTGGAACGTTTACCAAAACCTGTTTTGGACATTCTGAGCCTTGAATCCTTTTTCTCCCATCTGGGAACCCGCTGCGTTGCGCCTGTCTTTGCGCTTTTGGCACATTTCAACGATCAAACAGACAGCGTCACCGGTGACACATACACTCGTACACTCCGACGAACGCATCACGAAGTCAATGACATGGTCCCGAAAGAAAGACTGACTGCTTTCCTTATGAACAGATGGCTTTCCACTTCCATGTTAGTGAGTCGTAGTGCATGTTCACTTCGGCCGGCCTATGCGAAATTTTGCGGGGTGGAAGTAAGCCCTGTTGCCCAGGGAGAGAGGTCTTCAACCAAAGGGCATCCGCAGTGGTCCTGTTTGTATCTCCCGCTCCAGCATGCTCCAGCTGTAGCTTGTGAGTGACTGGATTGGAAAAGAAAATTGAGACTCTCCCAGCGTCCAGAGGTTCATTTCACATTTCAGCATCCATGTGGTGCTGGTGTCTTTTGGGAGGGTCGAAGTCGATCGGAGCAGGTCCATAAAGTGTGCCATCAAGTTAAAGCTCAGAGGAACATATCAATCATGTGTTTCACGTGGCTTTTGTGGGACACATGTTGCTTTGTTCCCTTTCAAACCTCTATGTTGCCCTCTCTTTGGGGGGCAGAGGTTGTCTTTGTGTTTTGTCCCACCTACTGTAATTGCCAGGCTATGGGACCTCTCGGCTGCTTCTACGTCTCGCCCAAGGCGAGGAGCTGGAGGCCCACGGAAGGGATGAAGGGATCTTTGGTTTGGTGAGGATAGACTGCTGGAAGGGACGAAGTATTTCCTCCGCGTTTTTTTGTGGACCACTCTTTGACATCAATGAAGGTGCTGCTTTAAGATGAGGAAGACAGATAAAAAAAGGCCGTGTGTGACCCATCGAGCCCAGAAGGAAGCTGACTGACCGCCTTTTACCCAAGAAACTAACATTTGAAACCAATGGGTGTTGATCTTTTTTCCTTCTGCCAGGGGTCGAATTGGGAGGTCTCCGTACTTTTAGAAAACACGCCCAGTAGTGGCGTATGTACGTCATCCACAGTCCAGGAAGTTGCCAGGAAATGCCGACTTCGCAGCCGGAGAATGCAACTGAGATGCTATTCACATCGGCAAGATCCTATTCATGCTATGGCAGGTGGCACATGATGAAACTAACTTGGTCGATGACATTCCCACGATATGCTCAGACGGTGGCCGGTGCTAGAACAGGTTCAGCTTCTCGAAAGGTACCTGTTTGGGTAGTTGCAAAAAAGCTGCAAATGGGCCACTGGTGGCTTAAAAGCTCTATTGTAGCATAATTCAGCATGATCGCATTTCTTGACGCGTTCAAGAAATTGCGGATGTGTTTGGTTTCCACCCATGTTTTTTCCTATTGTTGGTAATTACTGGAGGACTTCAGAAGACATGCTTTGGCCAAACACTCACTGACCTGGTCGTAACCCGCTGGAGGCCGCGGGGGAGGGCGCCGGCTCGCGATGGGAGCGCTTGGAGGTGTGGGGCGCTTTTGAGCGTTGGGAATTTGTGTGGACTGGGAGGAAAGCATGGGGATCCATGGTGATTTTCGTGGGCAGCTGTTCTGGGAGACGTCTTCAGTTCAAGAACGTATCATGAACAATCTTTTGGATTATTTGTTGTGGGTTCCCGAAGTGCTGGAAGATTGGCCCATCCCTGGTGTCCTGTTTGGAGGGGCAAACGAGACAGTCACCGACACCCTCTTCCGTGCATTGTTCGGAAAGATTGGCCCTAAAATCCAAACACAATCAATTATAATACATAGTTCTTCACTGCGCGCAGAAAGTAGACGTGGTCATCGTTTGCCGTCCGACAGGATTTTCTGCGTAAAGTGGAGATGGACCAAAGCCAACGACTACGGCATGCACGAGAACGGGCCAAGGCACGGATGATGGGATGGTTTGGTCGGTTCATGTCGGTTTTCCCACCTGTCAGGTGAGGGTTGCTCGATTTTAGGGTGGGGATCACTCGAAATATACAAGTCGTAAGGTTAATAACATCTATTGTTATATATGTTTATTTTGTTTGTCTTGGGATGCACTGGCTGATCAGTAGTCACAGACCTTTTTCCTTGAGGGTTCTGCTCCTTTTTTCTCTGTCGCGCTGGTGGGTGGAGCAACTTCACTGACATTGTCTTGTGATGGTGATGATGATGATGATAATGATGATGTTGATGATGATGATGATTCATATGTTTCCCTGTAATTTGGGAGCTTCACCATCGAATGTTTTAAAGTTGTTAAGGCTGGGACCGTGACAAGCCAAGAAACTTTGTCAGTACCCTCATGTCATGAGTCATGAGGGTTCAAATCTGGGAATCTCATACACTCCCTGGAACTAACACGGAAGTGGATGACATGGCCCCTTGGAAGACTGTGTTTCCTCTACTAACAGGAGGGTTTTATCCACTTTCCATTGTTTCAGGGAGGGTATTCATTTGGATGGCTTGTCCCAATCACGATCAGCAAGAGCCTGGCCGCCTCCGAGGGGTCGGTGCGACCCTTGGGCTCTCCGCCTTGCAGGTCCTACGAAAGCGACCGCTGGCGTGAGCGCGGGTCCTGGGTCCAGGGCTGCAGAGGTGGACGCACTGTTCCAAATGGAGTCCCTATACATGTCATTCTGTTGCTGTGAAGTTCGGTGCCACAGGATGCGGACCTAGGATTCGTTCAAGACCGAGCTGGTGTCGAGCATCCGAGCTAGTGTCGAGCAGGGCCAAGCAGGGGCGGCCGGATGTAGATATCTTGTATACCATAAAATCTATTAGAGAACCCACCAACTGCAATCTTGACCAAGGTCGATTTGCCGAATTCGATGTTTTTTGGCCTGGAGGATGAAGCTGCTTCCTTGGCCCACGGCAGCATTTGGACAGTGCCAAGATCAGACCCCTTGGGTTGTGGATTGTTGTTGTCCTGTTTGAAGAGTTGTTTGACAGTTGCAAGAGGTACAAGCTCACAATGAGTCCCTAGACTCCTAGACGTTGTGGAGTTTGGGAAACATAGAATGTAGTGCCTTGATGATATTTCACCCCCCAAGCCTGAAGAGGTGTTTACAATTTGAATGGAAAAGGTTTTCTTAATTAAGAGTCGACCTCTAGGTCTTTCGCTTATTGTTTGACATAACATCACGGCCTGTTGGTGTGGTGAGCTGTTTGCCTTTGTAGGGCAAGTGTCGGAACGGTTTGAAGAGGCAAGGATGGAGCTCCCAGAGACTATCTCTCTACTGACTCTATCCGAGCATGCAACCTACGAACCAAGCAAGAAGAACTGGTGCTGAGAGTGGGAACAAAAATTTGAATCATAGGATGCTATAGCAGAGTCTAGTAGTACAGCCTTGATAAGGCCTGGTTGATGCTGGTCGTACCTGGCCTGTTATACTACTTTTAATACCTCCTGACTGGTTTGGTGTATACCAACCTTCAACTACGACTTGTACATTTGCTTTGTTCTCTCACTGCAGCTGACAGATCCGAAGTTCCACAATGCCATTGCTGCCAGTCCGTCGCCGGCGCGAAACAGACGAACTGCGCTTTGAGTGCTGGCGGGCGACTAGGAATTAGGCCACGAGCGTCTCCTCACAGGTGTCAAAGACTCGGCAGCGCGGCAGAGAACGCAGGGGGAGCTCAAAAGACCCATGAATGTTTTTTGATATGTTGTTATTATATATTATATGTTGTTTAATTTAAAGCATGTGTTCTGTGCAAAAGTCCTTTTGTGTGTGGCCTGGATTTCCATCTTGTTGGCTGGAGGGAGTGTAGCTATAGGAGAATTGAGCAATTATATATATATATGCATTATGTTCCTTTGGATCGCTCATACAATATGTTGTAGAGTATCAGAAGTAAGTTGTATGTCCCATCCAGGCAGCGACTCTAGTCCCCATGCCGAAAAGATATCCAGCTTATATATTACTTGTATATGTTTGCAACCACTTGGTACATCATGCGAGACACGCATCCGCTGTAGGGAATAGGCGCCTGACACAGCAACAGACCGCTAGTTATGCACGACTGCACGAGCCCGGAAGGATAAGCACTCCACTTTGACTTGCCCATAGGAGGTTTGGACAGGTGAGAACAGTTTGACTGCAGTACATGATGTGTACATTGCCCGTCGTATGTATGTAAGCCTGTTTGTTTAAGAAACGATGAGCAAGTCAATGGCGCTGAAATAGATCCCTGATCCCCGTCTCTTTTCGTATTAAGGGCTGTGTTCGGCGGATCGGGAAGAGTAGGTTGGAGGCCCGATCCCGGGCGCACCAGGGGGGTGGGGTACAGAAAGGGTTAACCAGGTCAGGGGTGTTGGGGTTGGAGTCTCTTACTGTTTGACCACGGCACGGACGACCGGCCGCATGGACCAGGTACACCCGATTGAAATGTGGATCGAGTGACCGTGGGAGAACCAACGCCCGGGAGCTCGTTTCATCATGGGCGAAATGAAGCAATGTGAAGAAGAAGAATTTTGCTACTAGTTAGCTTCTTGTTACGTTCGTAGCGATGACCTCCAACCTACTTGCGATGGCCTCCACCGAGCATAGCATCCGAACGCTACTGGTTTTAAGAACCAGGTGACCAGCTGTGAGATGAAGCCCTTTTGCTCATATCCATCCGGGATATGCGTTGCTGATGGTGGTTTTTCCTTGCTCCAGGACAGCTGTCGTATATTAGCGCCAAGCAGAGCGTTCCCCGGGAATGTAACAGGTCACGCAAGGGGCACCGCTCGATCCAGTGACAGATCCAGGCAAGGTGGAGTTGATGTACTATATTTGTTGGCTTGGCTCGCTGAATTGTTCGTGTGGACACATCAAGCAAACGTGCATGTGGCTTTTTGCATTGACTATGGTCAGTCATATTTGGCCAGTGTTTGGCCTTTTTGTGCGACCATTTTGAGAAGTCTGGTACCTTGAAGCGGTGGTTGTGGGATGTTGTGAGTCAAACTTCGGCTTCGCAGCCCACACGAAAGCGATCGGCTTCGTATCCCATTGATTTTACCGGCAAATCCAATCCCACATTTCGACACGCGGGGAATACCAATTCAATGTGGTTGAATAAAGTCAAACTTGGCAGGGCTAGGCGAAGATGCCTGGTGTCATGTGGTGTCTCCTGGCCTCTAAGGCTCTAAAGGAACAATCTGTTGTTTAATTCATCAATCAGAATCCCACATCTACTAGTGACTGTAGTGATTGTTGAAGGATTGCCTCTTAAATGCTCGTTGACCGGATACCCATGCAGGGAATCTTTTGGGCACATATTCTCGAGTGGCTAGATCCCAACGAGAATCAGCACAGATCAGACTTAAGTATACTTAAGTAAGTGAACATTCCGGAGCTAGTGACTGTTCAATCATGTTTTATCCATGAAGCCGGTTTTACAATAGATACAATAGGGCCATTGCATTTCCTCTATACATGGACCCTCGGGGGTCTATAAAAATGACCACCCCTGAGAGGGGGGTAGTGGAATTACTACCCCTATGTTTTGCATATGTCAAAATCACCTCGACTTCGTGGTGGTGTAAATCACCTTCGCAATGACTGAGGTCTTCACGCTGGAATACGACTTGCTGTGTCCCGTTCAGCTTCCCCACGCGGCAGGCTTCGCGGCTTGCCATTGTTTGTTTTCTGCGAAAGATCTCCAAACCCAGAGGACTGGTAGATATTCGTGGCCATACCCTTGGCACTAGTGCCAGAAAGGACTGCCCTGCCAGAGATTGCCAGAGACCTTTCATGCAGTACATTGAAGGTTTACCACAGCTCGGAGGTAGTTATGTTGTCTGAACATGAACAGCCAAAACACTAAAGGCCAACGGTTGCTCTCTTGGGAAACTGAAGGGATTAGAACATGCGTTCACAACAAGTCCGGCATTCTGACACATGCATTCCGGATGTTGGCATGCCCAGTTCTCCACATCCGTTCTCCAGATTGATTGCAGGCCCAGTTCGATAGAATCTCCATGTTCCTTACAATATTCATACACTATCATGCTGGGTTTGCCTCAGCAAAAAGAGACAACAAATCCGTTGGCCCGAAACTAATATGTTGGCTATATGGAGATCTCTCCTGGGCTTCTTACCTTTAAGAGGGTGCTCTAAAAGCTCATTGCAGGTTTTGCATGGGAAAAGACACCAAGCCAGGATACATGGAAAGTCCCAACGTTTTGTGTTGCTTCTTTTGTGGGGTGTCCTTTTGCCTGGGGTATAAGATGCACCGCTGTGAGATATCCAAGCTTAAGACTTTGTGCAGTTCTATTTTAGTGGATTGAGAGTAGATGGCACAATCCCCCAAAGGGGGTTATGTAGACCTAAAAGGACATGTCGGGGTTTGTGCCTCTATATACGATCTGAAACCATTTTCGAGGCGTCCACATGCTGACGATCATCCTGCGCATGTGGTACACATCAATGGTTGCTTGCGCCGGCTGCCCAGTACTTCATGCAGTTCACAGAGTTTGCTAAACATGACATGCCTTTTCTATAGAACAGTTCACGATATTGTGCGATAGCTGACGAAGCTTCCTCATTGTGGCAGGGGAGAGTCGTTTTATGCAAATCTGATCAAACGCGCGCGTTTGCCCTCTTTTGGGAGAGCAACGCGCCAGTTGAGTTGAGTGATTTCAGTTGGCTGGATGGGTTGGCACATGGAACCCCAAAACCACTGGGTTGTAGAGGCCGGTTAGAGGAAAATGGTCTTCTTCCACGGGTCAATTCTCAGGTTCTATGTTGTTTTGCAGGAGGGTAGTTTCCATTCATAACTGTTCCTGGAGTGCGGAGCGCAGTAATGTACAGTGCCTATAGGCTGACAGCCCTGAAAAACCTCAATGCCTTTATTTTTTGGCAAAAAAAGCTGACAGCTTAGAGTCGACCGCTAGGTTGCAGTCTTGGCCCCACTGTCAAACCGTGAACCCGTGTGAAACCACCACTAAGACATGGACGGTGTTGCAGCTCCAGACCACATGTGGGTTAACAGGTTCTCAGTGTAAACATCCATCTGGGAGGGTCCAGAGTCGCGCTTACTCCCTTATATCATTCGGTCAGAGCGGGCGATGATGACGTCCCTCACGTTTCTACTAGCTTCTTGTTACTAGTAGTAAGGCACTTGTTACTAGTAGCGATGCACTTGTTACTAGTAGCTTCTTGTTACTAATAGCTTCTTGCTCCTAGTAGTACGGCCAGGAGCCCCGATCGTAGCGTCCTTGCTCCTAGTAGCGATGCCAGGAGCCCCTAATAGCTTCTTAGCTCTTGCTGATCGACGGCCCAGGTCATGCACATTGTGGCACCCCGAGAACTGCCCTTTGCCACCCACGCCATGATCGTCGTCCGGGAGACATAGAGGGCGGGGTGTGGAAAACTGAAAGCGACCATCTTCTTAAAGGAAACGACATTGGAAATGACCATTGTTGTCTAAAGCACCAAGTGCCTGCCAGGGTGACTACTTTCTACAGTGTCTTTTGGAGATTTTTGGAGGGTCTTCTCACAATAGTGGTTGCTTGGAGTTGGTCTAGGGCCTATGGACGGGCAAAGGCAGCCTCACTATTGTTTGTTAGCTTCACCCGGACCAATCAGACAGCAACAATGAAACAATTGAGTCTGTGAGCAGGTTGGTTGTGAGATTGACACCAGCAACGTCTACCAACAACGTTCTTGGTGGCAGTCCAAGTATGCTGGAAGAGAGCCTCTTGGCCCTCCGAAAGCAGGAGTATGGGAGATGCAGTGTGCGTCGGTCATCACAATGCTCAAGGGTGTGTTGAGACCGTGCTAAGGAGAATACCTTGACGGTGGCTGTGCAGGAGGAGGACTCGAATTTGCAGCAGGAGGCCCTTGCATGTGGAATGTGTGCCGTATGCCACCTGACGAATTGGTCTTGGCTCACTGCCGTCCCTGAACTCACCTGATTTGTAGTAAAAGCTCCTGCAGGCGGAATAAAGCAGTCCTACATGCCCTTAGCTAAAGTGTCTTGCAGGGAGGGACAGTTCGGTATAATATACGGATTCACCCAACTGAGAGGATCCTTTTGATAGTTTCATAACTTACCAAGTGTTGCTACGATGTATGTGATATGTGGTGGTTAAGAAAGTAAGCGGCTACCGTCCAAGTGTTTGTCCAAGTGCAAGTGTCCCAGATCTATCTATGATTCATGAAACTTAGGTTGCAGTTAAGCCAGTTAAGCTTAAGCAATGTTACAGCGCCCACCAGTACTAATGTTAGCTAAAGGTTGATATTGATGTGTTTTTGCTAAGTTTTGCTATAGCTTGTGCGTTTTATGCCAATTTGATTTTGGCAAATCTTTTGCTGGCTATGATTTGATTGTTGATTCTGTCAAATTTAATCAAAGCCAATCCAATCCAACCGCTGCAAGTCCGAAATATTGCTGTTTAAACGATTGCATATTGAAATGATCAAGTTTAGCGTGTACATCGCCTATGTCGGAAGTCAGGCCCTTGTTTTATCTCTTCGAGATCAGCATCATCACATAGAGGCCACTTAGGTCCTGGCAGGATCAGGCAAAAAATCATGAAACAGATGCCCAAGTCTCTGCTTGTAACATGCCAAAGTTCCAAACATGCAGTAAGACCCTCTCCCTCTTTGAATGGTGTTTTATGAGACTATTGACCTGTTTTGCTTTGCGGGAGAACCAAATCAAGGCCAAGGCTTAGAGAGATGCTCTTAGTCGGGAGACAATCAACTGCCTGTCCTTGCATGGCGCATCGTCCCCATCCTGTGAGTGATGCTACTGCGGTTCTTGGCTTAGCCGCTTGCCATCCAATTCAAGGCCTATTCGCACAGAGTTCCTTAGAATATTCTGCTCAGGGAGACCACCAACTTCCTGGCACTGTTTGTCACTCTGCCCTTGACAAGCGCGACAATGTCCAGGACCTGATCAAGTACGCATGTAAGGGCATCACCAAAATGGGAACTGCTGTCAAGACGCGCGTTCAAGGCGACGACAACCAACTCAGCGCCTCTTTGCCTACTCTGAGACTCTTCTGGGCTACAAGTGCTGCCAGGAAAAGATGGAGGAAGGACGCCACCTGTCGAGCAACAGGATCCTTTCCCAATCGCAGCCGCTGGGACTATTTTTGATTTGCTCATTTGATGACTGCTTAATTTGATGACTGCTTATTCAATTTCACCTGGGGACTCGATTTTATACCTGTGAACATTGTACTTTGACTTTTTTGGTGCGGGTCATGATTTGATCCTTTGGATAAAATTGTGCGCCCGCGCGCCTCTCTGTAGTCATCCCTCAAACATGAAATATGCATTTTTGTCTAGTCCATGCTAAGCTCTGTGTTGTTAGATTTCTTTAATAGAGGGGCTGCAGCTTCTCGGAGCACGGTAGGCCCTCCCTGCAGCAGGTGCCAGATCGCAGCGGGCACTCCTGGGTTCCCGGACATCAACAGCAAGCGCAAGATCGCAGTGGGCACTCCGGGACCTCAACAGCAAGCGTCAGATCGCAGTGGGCACGCCCGGACCTTAACAGCAAGCGCCAGATCGCAGTGGGCACTCCTGAACAGCAAGCTCCAGTGGGCACTCCCGGACGTCAACAGCAAGTTCAGATTGCAGTGGACACGCCCGAACCTCAACAGCAAGAGCAGCCAGATCGCAGTGTGCACTCCCGGATCTCAACAGCAAGAACAGCAAGCGCCAGATCGCAGTGGGCACTCTCGGACCACAACACACACAACCCACAATACAACCACAAACATAGTATAACACAACTACCTTTGTGTGTGTGGCATTTTGCGTGGCAGGTGGTGACAGGGTTGCACTTTTGGATGCCAACTGTAGACCGTGGCGATACTCTGACGCGAACTCCCCAACACTAAACACTAGAGCAACAACCCCACACCTGAGGACCCAAAAGCAAAATCGAGAAGCACAAAGCCCCAACCATGGCAACATGCGCCCCACAATGGCATGAAACAGTTGAAATGATTCAAATGTCATTGTGGGGATCACTCGAAGTAGAGTACAAGTTTCAATTTGCGCAACATCGCTAATGTTTAACTCGTAAAGAGCAGGTCATCCCTAATAGTTGTAGAACCCCAAAATCGAGATTGCATTGGTTTTGAGGCTGCAAATCATGGCTTGTGAGGTGTATTAATATGTATTAGTTGTTAGTCAAGATCCATATTTATATACTTCAGCTCCCAGAAAAAGGGCAGCAGAATGAAAGCCGATTGAAAGCAAGTGAAAGCAGGATGAAAGCAAATGACAGCAGGATGACAGCAAAATGAAAACAAATGTATGAACTCCAGAGGTGGTTATTGTTGCGGCTACCAAAAGCCTCCACAGAAGATATTGGAGACGAACCCCCCGCGACAGTAGTTTTTCTGAGTTCTACATTCTACAAGTCTTGCTAGGTTACGTACAAAAATGAAATTTTGACTTGCCGTTACCCAATGTAGACACCCAACTGTTCTGAAGGTCTGTGCCTTTGACCAATCGCGGGCCAATGGCAAATTTACAACATGTGTTTTTTTGTCATGTTCCTTGTTTGCCTCACAACTTCGGTCGGCATCCCATTGAAAAACGTCTCTTCTTGAAACATAACAGGAACAACTCTGAATGACTCCATGACTTGCTGGGTTCTGGGCAGGGACCAAACTAAAAACCCTGTGAGATCGTCAGGTGATGCAGCCTTGCTCGTCGTGGGTTTGCCACCTAAGTGACTCGCGGGCCCGTGGAAACATTTGTTTGTGAGCACTGAGCACCGCCTTGGACGAGAGGCTTGCCCCATTTGCCTGGAGAACTTTCAAGTCGGCGACAAGGCACGCCCGGCACAGCATGGGGGAAACACGGAGGGAATTGACATTATGGGACCCACTAAGTCAACATGTGACAACGCAATTTGATGGCAAATCCTTGTTTTTTTTTGTGAACAATACATCGAAATTGGAAATGACAAAAGATGACAATCACTAAGTGAGAGTGACTGTATGTTCCCCTACCACAGTTTTTTCATGTTTCTTCCAGATTTCTTCCTTTACCAGTTCTTGTTCTTGTGCACTAAGAGGCGGCCAGGTCCGACGCCTGCCATGCATGCACCTGTTTCACGTGGTGGGCCTGGCACTGAGCAGCGGCTCACGTGTGGCGTTTGACCCGCCTGAAACCACGCACAAAAGAGAAGCGAGCTGATGGTCCAAGTGGTTGAGTTTCCCAGCAGATTCAACCCATGGTGAAAGCGAGGTTTCGCCGGGTTGGACTGGTAACTCTGTAGATGTACAATTGGTCCAACTAGCTACAGACTGAGCGGCACAATACAGATCATATAGAGTTGGCGTTCAAAATGGCCCTCCCTGGTCACTAGTCAGGTACCATATGACGTAGCCTGAGGTCTTCACCGGGACCGCCTCCAATCGCTCGGTCGGTTCCCACTCAGGTGGAGAGTCCTCTTCACAGAGCCGCCATTGTAACATCGACAGGCGCAGCCTATACATGCCCAACGTGGCACCAGACTCCAGTGAATGAGGAATGTATTGGAAGTGCACTCAGGTCGTATGTTCAAGTGTTTAAGAATATTCAAGAACACATGACGTGTGTGTTTGTGTTTGTGTTGTGTGTGTGTGTGTGTCGTCTTCACACATCACTAAGTTCTCTCAGCAATTCAAACCTTTTGACCTTTGCTTTCATAAGCTGCACCGGGCCACGAACTCTGTTCCGGACGGGCGCGAACGGACAGCGGACGCCCCACCGGTGCAGACACCTGGTGCTGGATAAGCAGTGCCCCATTTGCAAGACGCCCATCGACATCATGGCCCCTTGGCCGGCTGAGGTCACGATGCAAGTGTCGTTTGAGAAGGATTGGGATCTGGAGTCCCTCATCCAAGCTTAACCCATACTGTAGGGTCCAGGTACCTCCTGAGGATGGTCATGGATGGACCCTTAGGGTAAAGAATCGTGTGAAGTGATGAAGGTCGACAGCCAGATATTTTAGGGATGGGCGATCCGCTTTTTGTTTGGCAAGAGTCGTCAGAGTCGGACTGAAGACAATTTGCTAAATGTGCTCACATGATGTGCCCCTGTATACCAATCACTATTCTCCAGGTAGTGCACGAGAACTTGTTCATCTACAGTAATTGTGTGATATTATGTGACTTGTACTAGGTTACTAGGCCATGTTGAATCAACGTGCAAATACAGTGAGGAGCTATCTTGTCCAAACTGTCGTGAAGCTGAGGAACGCATGGAACGAGATCAAGCAGCAGCAATGGACCGCTCGGATGAAGTATCTTGTTTTGCAAGATATCGGAAGATGTTGTTGTTGGTGGGAAGTATTTGTGCTTGGGAGATGTCCATGAAACAACATGAAGCAACTCCTTTGGGTGTCCACATGTAAACACACCTTGTCAACAGATGTTTTTTTCTATTTTTTTGCATGGGCGCTAGTCTTGTTACTAGTAGCTTCTTGTTACGTTCGTACCGATGGCCTCCAACCTAAAATAGCGATGGCCTCCACCGAGCATAGCGTCCGTTTCATTGAACGACGCACGGGACGTCTCCGCACGTGGACCAAAGGGATGAGCAACGAAGACGAACCATCATATGTTATCAAGCTTTGGTTGGCAAGGATCTTGGAAAAGCAGCGGAGTGACAGTGAACCTAAACAAAAGTTGTCGCAAGTTTGATATCTTTGAGTTCAAAAAAATTTTTAGGACCGTACGATGAATCCCACATTTTTGGAGCCACCGAAAGGCAGCCGGATGCCGGTCGAGCTCCTTGTCGCACGTGCTCCGGCGCCCCTCCGGTTTCAGGTCGCTCCGGCACCCGTCGGTCGGGGTGCCCAGTTGGTTCCCTCGCAGTCTCTTCCAGTGGTTTTTTTGGGTTCGTTTTGGGCCCAAATGAGGTGCGTAAGGGGATGGGAGAACTTACCCGAAGCTTTGGTTTTACAGGCATGGAAGAGGGGTGTCATGGTGCTTTGAAGCTAGCGTTTTGTACATGTCTGATCGTTTCTCTACGGATGAGGTGCACTTGCATGTTTGTTGGATGATAGGTTCTGTGATACAAACATGGATGGTTTGCTAGAGGTGCTTGAAAGATATATAATAAGTAAGGACTTCCTCCCTCCCAACATAGTGTTCCCAGATTTGAGGTCACCAACTGGTGGGTGATGACAGTTGCCAGGGTTGCCAGGTCGATATGTGTCCAACAAACCCAAAAGAAACAATACGTACAGTACATGGGCAGCCATATACTGTAAATGTTTTGGATGCAGTGTAGATGCATGTAGCATTATTTAGATGTGCAATAAGACCCGGTGTGTTTTTGCCTCATGAAGACGCAACCACCGCAAGCATCCCAGGCAACGTTTTGGGCAACTTGTTCGAGCCCAAGCCATCCATGGGACTGAATTGATTAATTGATTGCATTGCGGTTACATGGGGGCAAAATGATATAAAATGTACTTAACACTTAACACTATTCCATACTATTCCTGTTCCAGTCCCATGGATGGCATTGACATGCATTGACCCTTCAAACAACTGAAAAGCACCCCCCCAATGTTCCATACATGGATCGTTTGGGCCAAACAACTCGTTCAAGCAGCGGTCGCGCCCCACCGTCCAGTCCGAGCACTTCGCACCTCTACGCGACCGCCACAGGTGAGATCACAATACAACCGGCCGATTCCGGGGTGGCCAAGCTGAGAGAAGGTCGTGTGTTTTGAACCATGTTTGTGGACAGTTTGAGACCCATAAACATAGAGGAGCAAAGACATTCCAAACACCCAAGCTTCCAAGTGTGGTTTTTCCAGTTGTCCGTGGATCTGTCCAAGTGGCAATGAGTCGAACATGTGTGTGTGTGGCTTTTGAGTTACCAGGATGAGGTCACTTGGCCCGTAAAAGGTCACTTGAGGGACTTCAAAAGGTTGGCTTTGAAGCAGAGGCATGTGTGTGTGTGAGTGGGTGTGTGAGTGCGTGGGTGGCTTTTGTTCAAGCATGTTCTTCCCCAAACATGTGTGGCTCGAAGTTACTTGTTCAAAGGTATTTTGGGGCCCAGGGGTATGATCCAATGCACTGGAACATCGTGCCGATCTTTGTCTCTGAGGAGGGGTTGGTCGCTGACACCGCAGAAGAAGCCAGGCAAGTCAGAGATGCCTCATGCTGATGTTTGTGAGCTCTGGGATGGTCTTTCCGGATGTATTAATTGTTGTATCCTGCACCAGAGCGACCGCACTAGCTGCACTAGCTGTAACATCCGAGGCACTCGCTTATGTTTGTGTATCGCAGGGTAGTAGGCCAAGTATTCTGTTCTTGCTTGCTTGAGCTGGTGAAGGCCCTTTTTCCTTCCACTGCAGCAGGAACGCCATTGAGGACACTTCAACATTTAACTTCACACGTCACGTGCTTATCAACGTAACCCAAATCTCCTGCGTTTTGTTGCTGAAGACACGCCCCCGCCTGTTTTGCTGCCCTTTTGCACCGTGTTATGTTTGTTCGCCAGGCCGGCCACCAGTGAGCAGGCACAGGAGCCAATTACAGGGTCCGATGGCTCCGTGGTGGGTTCAGCACAGTCTTTGACATGAAAAGAACACACTAGATAGGGCCACGTTTAGATCTTTTGCTGACAAACTGACACCAACCAAGAAACCATATTCAATACGTCACAACTGGGGAATGCCAAATGCAACGTCTAAACTGCCAAGCACTATCGTCAGTTTCGGCACGAGTGTCTTCCATGAGGGGGCATGGATCAAAGGAAAGGAACATGAAGCATCACCTGTTAGTCTATTGTATTACGGTGAATGGAACGTAGATGGCACAATCCCCCAACGGTGGTTTGTATAGACCTCCATCTATTTTAGAGACCTTTAATAGGGGTTTGTGTCATTCTCTCCACGTGTCAACCACGAACTCAGCTACTCTCCTGCACCTGGAAGCCAACGAACTCGTCGTGGGTTCGGCTGTCGGGGGCGGTCGACCTGTCGAGCAGGAAGAAGACCGACCGGTCGAGCAGTGCGGTGCCTGTCGACCCTGGGGTACCTGGGGCATTGGGGGTCGGATTCGCTGTTCTTCCCTGCAGGGTACGTACTGTACTGGCCCTACTCTTGTGGGTTTTGTTGAACTTTATACAACCCTGAGGGATTTGAGCTCAGTTTTTTTTGCCGAATGCAAATGGCTCGAAACACAGTGGTTGGAAGTCTTCATGCTTTTGGATCAGCTTGCTTTGATCCGACTATGGCTATGGGGTTTGGTGGAGAAACTGCCTTTCTGCAACAGTTTCTGGTGTGCCCTGGATGCTTTCTCAGGGACACCTTGGCAGTCCTTTGTTCGCAATTTGTGTTGCAAGATCTTGTAAGCCAAGTATTCCCGTCTCACTATGCTTTGGGTCTGTCTCATTGCCTATAACAGTCATTAAGCAATTATCACTAACTTTGAGAGCGGCCTTTACTCGTGGTCGTCGTCGTCGGCGTCGTCGTCATCATCGTCATCATCATCCACCCAAATTGTGTTAAATTATGATGCAAAGTCTGGTACAGAGCGGCACCCTGTGTTCTACAGCCTGTCCGTGGGCAGCTTTTTGTTGTTGTAGCTGGCCGGTATGCGAGCTAACTCATGAGCATTTCAAGGATTTGTCCACTTCGCAACAATTGAAGGATACGTTCCCGGACTTTCCCACACACCACAGCTGCACTATGTAATATCGTTCTTCTTCGCTTCAAAGATGTCCCATCCTGGCAGCCCAGAAGCGAGGATTGGCTCTCCAGGACGCTCACCTTACAGCCTGTGCATGGGCCGCCATTCAATCTGATTCTTAACTTTTGCCATTACACCCTTAGGGAGTCGACTTGTGAATAAAACACCTCCTACACCACCTGTGTTAACCAAACTTTTCGGTGCGGGGCCGGGTGGGTTTCGGTGCCTTAGTCGCTCATGTGAGGCCTAATCCACAGCGCTTGCCCGAACAGGTGGGTGTGGCGAAGTGGTCGGGCTGAGCGATTGAACGGAGAACGTCAGAGAGAATGAGATGGATCAATCTCCAGCATACACTCCCAAAAACTCATATGGATTTCGGAGAATGGCACTGTTTTCCTGTTTTCCTTTACCAACCAGTGGCTTTCAGGGTCCATGTTAGTCTTCAGCGGGGTATTCTGTTCGATTGTTTAATCCAACTCTTTGAGATCCAAGAATTCTGAGAGTTCCTGCATGAATGGGAATTTCTAGGTGAATGTAGGTGACCATCACCTGATGATTGTCGAACTCTTTAAGGATCCAGAGAAATTCAGCATGTTCAAAAGAGTAGAACCTCCGAACCATCCGAGCGGGTCTGAAAAGGTCTTACTGGTTCTGTTTCTACTATGTTTTACCCCAGGGTAATGAGATGTAATGAGTATAGTAAGCCTGTCTATGTTCTCTTATTGTGTCTTTCTTTCAGCATCATGCTGCTTTCAAAACACCATGCGACAGTTGGTCATGTCCTTCTGCTTGTGAACAGGATCCAGCTCACTGCATGTGCCCTCAGGCCCTCATAGGGCACTTGGAAGACAAAGACTCTTTTCACCGAACGGGCTTCCATGTTCCACTGCCGCGCACGTGGCCGGACCAGCCGTCGCGTCTCCAACCTTCTTTTCGGCCGATCGATCCGGCCTGACCAGGCCGCCGAGCTGGAACGCGTGGTTCGAAGTTTACAGTGCCTTGGCAGAGATCGGCACTCAAGTTGAGCCCGACAGAAGAGCGGGCCCGGCCTCACGAGCCTCACGAGCCTCTGAAAGAAGGGCCATGCATGGTCGGCCATGCCATAACATTCCCTTGTTACTAGTAGCGATGGCCTCCAACCTACTTGCGATGGCCTCCCTAGTAGCGTCCTAATACTTTGAGATGTGAGTGTAACGAACTGAAACCCACACTGCGCCTTGTGACGAACAAAGCAGCCATTTTCAGGGTTGGTGAACTTGGGAGGTTTACTGGACATGGGAGAAAGAAGCACGCTGGGTCCCAACGCGTTTCCCAGTCCGTTTCCGTAAAGTGTGCAGGAGCAAGTTCAAGTGGATCTCACCGGCTCCAGCTGTTGGATCATGCTGCATGTTGTTTTAGGTAAACACCAAATTTATCCAAATGTGTATTGCTCTTGCAAAGTCGGGCGCTATGTCTCTCAACAGATCCATTCACGCGGCAAAAAGGCCCATGACCAGTGTGGGGAGCTTGCGCAGTCGTTCTTTTGAGTGCGGCCCGTCCCAGAATCTACGGATTCCTGTAGATGCATCTAATTTATATGTTGTTTTAACTGGAATCCTGACCAAGAACGCCTTGGACTTGTCCTTTACCGCTGAGGTCGCGTTGGCTGCAGATTCAGGCCAGGTCCGGTGGTGACCAGGGCAGATGTAGACATATCATTCGAAGAATTCATAGGGACTTCATAGGGTATGTTGAGGTTCGTACGCATACTGCACACGTTGTTGGTATGAAAATATCACTGACAATAGTGTTTTCATATCAGGTGATATGATGTATTTTTGTCAACTGATATTGATATATATACGACCCGACTGGAAGACGGGAAGTTTCTTCTGATGGTTTCACGAAGGATTATGGCAGATTGACAGGAAGCCGCACAAATGAACTCAGCATTATTTGTGTACTGCAGAACTTTGAAGGAGGGCAAAAGCATACAAAACTGCATCCGATAGCTTTGAGTTTCCGATTATCGTCAGATAGAACGATCAGCACCACACCGCTAGAGTCTGACAAACACCAACTTTATAGAAATGCAGACACATGATGTTTCCATGCAAACCACGCTAGATGTCAACATCATAATGAAGATGCAGGGCTTGTGACTGAAGGGGCCTTTATGCAGCAAGCAAGTGCTTTGTTGTTGCAAAGATAGCAAAGAAGCAATCGTGAGTCGAACAACCACTTGCACTACACAACAGGCGTAGACCCGCACACTTTGCCTATGATAGCCCTGTTTCATGTTTTCAGGTTTGCCTGTGTAGGTATGGGTCAAAACGACGGGTTATCCCTTAAAACAGTAACTTTGTCACGCAAAGCCCCAACCATAACTAGAAGAGTCTGTAATCTCTATGTTTCTCTGCTACAGTAGCCAGAAGGACTCCTAAAGAATTTACACTTTCTCGCTAACTTGTTGTAAATTGTCAAACCGACTGAGTAAGTTGAGCGTCATTAGACGCGGGTACCTGAGGTTCTCTCCTCCCAGACGCGCTGCCCAGGATGTCGTGGCGGGGGTGCAGCAAATGCTGCACTACCTCGAGGACGGCGAAAACGGGCTACTAGTAACAAGAAGCTACTTGTAACAAGTGCATCGCTATTAGATACCCGAAGCTACTATTGTAGTAATGCCCTTGTTACTACTAGCGATGCACTTGTTGCTTCTTGTTACTAGTCAAATAGGGCCTCACCGGCTCCGGTCTTTCCTCGCGACGACGGGGCGACATCGGGGTGTCGCCATGTGCCAGCAGTGATCGCATCGACCGTCAGGTTTGGGATTCCTCTCCGGTCCAAGACCGTGAAAAAAACAAGGGAACTTGGGACATCTTGGAACCTATACCAGCAGTCACAAAGGGGTGCTTAATGGAGGGTAGGGTGCCCATTATCCACTCACTTAGGGACTAAACACCACCCCTTTGTGACTGCTGGTAGATGGCCTTTTGCTATTAGGTGTTTAAATGTGTTTTAGATTGACAAAGAGGATGATATACCCGCAAGATCCCCCCAAGTCAAGTGTACAACCCACATAGGGCATTTTTGGCCAAACCAACGCACCTTATAACAATTTCGACAAGGACCTCATTTTGGGAACCACTGGAAACCACCGTTCCCCTTTGGCGTTTCGTGTCACAATTTGCACAGCACTACAGCACAGCTGCTTCGGACCCATGATTGGTTCAGCTTGGGTGCTGGGATGAACTCCCCATCATGAGTTCAGCTTGGGGGCGGCATGTAGATCCCCAATAGGTGAGTGGATGTGAAGCCCGAAAGCACGTTTTCAAAAGCTGGCAAGTTGACATGGAAGAGATTTGCTACAAAAGTGTTCCTTTTCGCTACAAGGTCCTCTTTGAGCGATTGCCTCAGGGCTGATCCCCTTTCCAGAGAGGAACCAGTCCCACCTGAACCACGTCGAGTCGGCGACTCCGTGAGGGGTGACCGGGTGGTCTTCAGGACCGCCTGGGCTTGTGAAGTGTGAACCACCTTGTAAAACACGGGTTGTTCGGTATAAAAGGCTATTAAACAAAGGGTGGTTCGACTTCTAGGGAATCAGTTTGATTGCCTTCCTATGCCTTCCAGATTCTCGACCGTGTGCTCGTGGCATCGTTGGTGACTTAATGCATGTGCCGAGGGGCACCAGACTCTGCATTCTGTGTGCTGAATCTTCTTTGACATGCATTCTGCTGTGTTTTGTTTCTTCTGTTTCCAGCCCTACCCAACAAGAGCATTGGTGCCGGGTGAGTGGTGATCACCTTGATCGCTGCTTCCCCGAATAGTTCTTGTCACACCATTGGCCGGGTGTGGGGCGTAGCACGAGGACATGTGGTGAAATTACCTGGCAGTGTGTGCTGAAGAATCAGCAAGCACCGTTGGGTGTGCTCAGGCTGGACTGAACCCATCTAGTTTAGTCTAGCTTGTTCTCTCCTGGGTGCTGTCCCCATCATGGGTCAGCATCCGATCATGACCCATGTAAAGGCGCTTGAGGCCAACCCACTTGGTGCCAAAGTGGATGACAGTGAGACGATGGGCTACTTGTGCTCACTGGACGCCTTTTGCTTGGGCTGCCTTGGCAGTCTAAAGCACCTCGTGTTTCCCAGAAGGGGAGGCCTGTTGCTCGGTTCCGTGATGTTTCAGAGAATCGCCCTACCTGGACTGGAGTCTCACTGTACCACATAATATATGGGTACAAGTCCATGTTCTTCTAGGGTCATGTCCCATGTTCTAACATGGGTTTTTGTGGACCCTGGGAGTTATGGAATCGTTCGCCTTCCAAGTTGAACTCATCCGAGGCAAACATGAGAACGAAAGAAATGGAAAGCTTGCGCAAGATACACACTGTGTGTGAAGTTCTTTCTAGTGCTGGTACAAGCTTGCCAGGGACAGGTGCTTCAGCGAGGGAGTGAGGGAAACAGTGGAAACACATCAGTCAGTTTGATTGCCTTCCTATGCCTTCCAGATTCTCGACCGTGTGCTCCTGGAATCGTTCGTGTCTTAACGCGCGTGCTGAGGGGCACCAAACTCTGAGTCACTTCGTGAGCCCTAAGCATCGTGTGCTGAATGTTCTTTGACAGTACTTGATTTGTGTGTGCGTTTTTCTGCTTCCAGCCCTACCCAACGAGAGCATTGGTGCCAGGTGAGTGATCTACCTTGATCGCTGTTCCCCCGAATAGTTCTTGTCACACCATTGGCCGGGTGTGGGGCACAGCACGAGGACATGTGGTGAAATTACCTGGCGGTGTTTCCTGAAGCAATCAGCAAGCACCGTTGGGTGTTGAATGCTCAGGCTGGACTGAACCCATCTAGTTTAGTCTAGCTTGTTCTCTCCTGGGTGCTGTCCCCATCATGGATCAGCATCCGATCATGACCCATGTGAAGGCGCTTGAGGCCAACCCACTTGGTGCCAAAGTGGATGACAGTGAGACGATGGGCTACTTGTGCTCACTGGACGCCTTTTGCTTGGACGGCTAGTAGCAGTCTAAAGCACCTCGTGTCCCGCCCGCAGGATAGCCACTCCACCTTGAGTGCCGTCCGCAATAGCACGGCTCGCGTCGACGACGCAGCGCGCACCTCTGCGGAGACAGGCAGTCTCCAGGGACTTTTTTGGTCGTGGTTATGTGGTCGTTGCATGGCCGGATCGTTTGGGAGTCTAGATGGTGGGTATGTTTGTTTTGGTCAGTTCAGTTAGCATATATAATTAGTGGTATAAACGTTAATTTGAGATGATTTGAGCAAAGACCATTTGGATACTCTTCATGTTGATACCCACTCTTAGAGTGTACGAGTGCGCAGTGGCGCAGCATGAGGCCTCCTCACCCTACAACCCTTGATCAGCACACACTGCAGGCACCGAGGAGCAGCCTCAAACGCAGGTGGGACCAAGCTGCGCTGCGATGACCAATCTACAAGGGTGCTTCACCCTGTGTTTTGTTTACCTGCTGTATTCTCTGGGAGGGCAGATCCACGGATCCACTTGGTGGCCGGGATGCGGGTCTTGGGCAGGTCTTTAGGGTCGTGGGTCCAAGTAATAAGTAACTAACAGTAACTAGGGGTCTTGGGCGCTTGTTGGGCACAAGCCACAAGTTCGTTTGGTAGTTGCTGTACTTTTGACAGTTAACCTTCATTTCCTTCAGGGCCACTGGGGAGATGTTCTAGGTCATAGGTGTTTGTTTGTGCACTTTCATGAACTTAGCTTGCAGACGCAGTTGATTGCGACCGGGCATCAACTGCGTTTGCAAGTTCACATGAACGTTAACACCACCCCACATTGCGCACAATACAGCAAATACCATCCAACAGTGTGTCCACGTCAAGAGTACCGCACATATACAAATTGATACAAATTGTATATAAGTGTATCAAATTGTTGTCCACAAGTGCCAAAATTTCTCGGCGGTCTAGATTATCAAGCGTGCAGGCAAGGCGCTCTAGAAAAACATGTTGCACTCATGTTTGTTGAGACGTGGAGAAAAGCAAGGAAACAAACTGTAAGCAGAACAACAACCTATTGCATTTTTCCTTGGCCATGTCAGCGTCCTTTGCTCCAACACGCCGAAACCGGGCGTGCTCCGCCGAGGCGGCGCCTGAGACGGTCTCGGTGATCGCTTCACCGACCGACGTCTCGGTTGAACCTCCGGTCGAGTGGGGGCACCCGGAGGTCACGGTGATCACGGGGAAGCTGCAGAGGATCCCATAAAATGCGATGCGGATCCGAAGTGATTTTTTGTAAATCAAAGGGGATCTATCGACACTAAGTGATGTTGTTGGGAACTTTAGGAAACAAAAACAAACAATAGATCATGATATTAAGTCTATACGTTTTGAAAGAGAAAAACTGAATTCCTAAACACGAAAAGCTGGTGGCAAAGACCGTCAAACTAGAATAGTCAATATTAATAATCCCGTCCCCCTAATAATAAACACGCCCCCCCCCCCCCCTAT